ATATAGAGATTGGCTATGGTGGAAACCCTTTTACTGTAAGTACGGAATGCGCGAAAATAAAAAACAGCCTATCAGATTTCAGTTATCTAAAACTTGAAAAGAAAGTAAACATTTCCAGAGACTGAATATTGATATTGGCCAAATAAAAAAACGGCAGAAATATGCAAAATTTTCAAGTTGTCCTTGACCGCCAGGAAATCAAAACAAATTTTACATTTCAAGGGTTTCGTTATGGAAGAAGCAAAATATTGCTTCATTTAATTCATTTTAATTGAACAGTAATTGCTCCTTTTTAAAAATTGACTTTCGGCTATTTTTGTTTTCGGTCCTTCGCTCACGAGTTTTTTTTTCGTCATTCGGTCCTTCGCGCTTGAGAATAGCCCCCATTGATAGCCTCACAATTTCTCATAGAGCATTTGGAAGTTAGACGACCGTAAAAAACGAAATTTAGACGATAACTCTATGTGAATTTAAACGTTAAGTACTGGGCCAACAAATCTGTTTGTTCAGATTAAAGTTACACAAAATTTAAAAAAGTATATGATCACAGAATTGATCAAAGTTTTGAAGTTTGGCTATAATTTTTAGAATTTAATTGTATGACGTGAAATCGAAAAAGTAAGTTTCAATTCTTAAAAGCCTAACCTATACAATTGTGACATTAATAGTTTGATTAGTGGTTGGACAATCAGTATTTATTCAACCAATTTTTAAAAAGTCAGTAAACAAATTTCACGCATTTGCACGCAAGTTATTGTCTAAATTGCGTTATTTTGTAATCGTCCAATTTGCTTGCCGCCGGGGTTGACCTCCATAAACCAAAAATGCTTATCTTATATTTCCTTACACCGAAAATGTTAGTAGTGTTAGTTTTTCTAAATGGTGAATTGAAAAATGTTTCGTAAACGTTACTTATAATTTGAAAATTATGAGTTAGGACCGATGTGGTATAACTCATAGAGTAATTTCGGATAGGGTACACCGTCTGCTCGTCACGCTATCTTATTTTCGGCCGGATAGATTCGTGCAACTTCTTAGTCTAATACCGATCCTAATCTTACTCTTATACTTTCTAGTCTCAGGGTGTTTAACTAGTCTCTGCTAGGCTCAATAGATCTAGGGTATACTGGTTTGTTGCGGCTGCTGAAGTTCTCTTGGAGAGACAACTAATTTCTAAGTTAAATTCAAATCTCTCTGGTGCTGAAATTACAAGTAATTTCAGCACTTACAAATAAGTGGGTTGTTAGTTAGATGGATCATTATTGGTTAATATTAAATACTTTACAGTGGTAAAATATCTAATTTATCCAATCATTAAATATAGTTTAGATCAGGTTCCAAAAGGTCGAACAATTTTTTCAAACAATTACTAGTTCTCAATTGGCAAGTTTTATTGGAAAAAATTTTCACCAACAGCGGATTGATCGTTTTCCTCTTTAGAGAGTAGTTAATTTTTAGTTAAAAAGCGCATAGATTTTAAATTTAAGTCTCAAAACATTTTCCAATATGCAGCAAATAACTTGAAAACTTGAAACCGTTGAACTGAATTCGACCAACTCTTTTGATTTTATCAATGCAGATGCAATCTTTTCTAAAAAAGCTCAACATAATGTATGGCATGACCAGTGGCGTGCGCATGCTTTTTAGGGTGGTGGTTTGATCGAACAGTTTTTTCTTCAAATTGATTTTACGAAAAGAATTAAAATTTTGCCAAAAACATTGGGAATAAAAATTGAAATATGGGTCTTTTTATTTAGGGTTGAAGAGAAAAGTATATCGATTCCGAAGAATGATTTTTTACTTTATCGTGGCTAGTCTAAGCTAAGGTGTTAACTTACTTAATCTTACATAGGGGTAGTGATTGTGTTCAAGGGTTGGAGAGTAGTAAATCGATCCACAAGGTCCAGGTATAATTAGAACGCAAGTAGTTCGTTAGATACTATTTTAAACTTACTAAGTCTAAGATCTATCCTGGGTCTGGTAAGAGGAGGGTTCAAGTGAAGGATGAATAACCGAAGTTCTTCACTGTTTATCCTAATTTTGAATGGTTAGTTTTGTTTAAAAATTTCTATTAGTCTTGGTTTTTTTGGAAGGGTTGGATAGTGAATCGACGTTTGAGGTCGTTAGACACTTGTTAAGTGGGTGGGGGAGAACAAAATTGTTCTTTTTGATCCAAGGATAGGCCTTGATGATCAGGTTTTAAATTTAATGATCTAATTTTTAAAAGTAAGTGAAGATAAGTTTAATTTGGTGTAAATTTATTTTAAAAAAGATTTAGTTTTTTGAGGATATTAGTGAGCTTATGATTGCTGTTTTGTTTAGGTGATGAAGCTGGGACAACAGATGATTTTATGATTACTAACAATTTATTGTGATGCTACTCATTTTTATTTTCATTTTCAATAAATATTTTTCAAACATGTTTTATATAAGGCTGCAGAAATTAAGAAAACGATCTGAGATCTTTTTATCAATCGTTATTGTATTTTAATAATTTTGTTTAGCGCCTGAAATGATCATGAAGATTGACTTCAAAATTTTATGTTTGCAAATGAAAATCTAAATTCATTGCTAATAAGATTCTAAATATAAAAGTTTGTGTTGGCTTTTGCCGTACAATCATAAAACTATTTGGTAAGTTTCTACTTTGTCGTATGTCGTCTCTTGTTCGAGGTCTTCTTCCAATTCCGGGTAGTTCTGTTATCGTTCGGAATATCGGCTCTGATCTATTGAGTCGTAGAGACATTTCGATTAAATTATTATCGTATAACATTTTGAAAATGTTTTGTCTAAATTCTAATCTATTTTTGGTTAAATCTAAGCTATTAAGATCTTATTCGAGACTTATAGTCGCACCAGATGAGTTATGACCGATTTGGTTAACTCATAGAGTAATCTCGGATAGGGTACACCGTCTGCTCGTCACGCTATCTTATTTTCGGCCGGATAGATTCGTGCAACTTCTTAGTCTAATACCGATCCTAATCTTACTTTTATACTTTCTAGTCTCAGGGTGTTTAACTAGTTTCTGCTAGGCTCAATAGATCTAGGGTATACTGGTTTGTTGCGGTTGCTGAAGTTCTCTTGGAGAGACAACTAATTTCTAAGTTAAATTCAAATCTCTCTGGTGCTGAAATTACAAGTAATTTCAGCACTTACAAATAAGTGGGTTGTTAGTTAGATGGATCATGATTGGTTAATATTAAATACTTTACAGTGGTAAAATATCTAATTTATCCAATCATAAAATGTAGTTTAGATCAGGTTCCACTATCAACTTCAAAAAAGAAAGAGTGTAGATTATTTGGCGGCAAATCACTGATTTACGCGCACAAAGCACTCGTGCCGAATGATAGCGCAGCGGCGCAAGCGATTGCTTCTTGCCAGTACTGTCTTTAAAGAAGTTTTCCGACTTGCCAATTGATCTGAGTCTGTTAAAAGGTTGGGTTGCTAAAAACCGGTCTGCTAATGTCCCCAGCACCGGTTTAGCAAACCTCAGCTCATTTAACAGGTCAGAACGCTGACATCAAATGCGGCATAGGAATGTAGAGATTGCTTGGTCCACTGCACTTACATTCGACACAAAAAGAACTATGGGCGTAATTTAGTGATTGGTAAGCAGTTTGTTTTGGTTAGAGTTTTGTTGACAAAAAGCGAGATAATTGGTATAATTAAATTAGCTCAACTCCAAAAAATATCTTCTAACTTTTATCAATCCGTTTATTGGTCAATCAGCTGTTTGGTCCTTCCACCCTGCTTTGAAACAAAAGATTGCTAAAAGAGTTGATTTGCAATTTTTATACTAAAAAAGTAGGCTGCTGAAAAACCGATCCCCTTGTCTGCTGTTCTATAGCCAATGGAACAGCAGACAATCTCAACCTTACAATCTCCCCTACTTAGTGACCCGTAGAAAGCCCTCTCCAAGCATGTATTAATTCTGAAAACTATTTCTGTATAAAATATGCATTTCATACAAACTTGCAAATACAATTGGCTTGTGCATTTTTTCTGCGGGATTGCGTTTTTAGGCCCCTGTTAACTATCCCCCCTTTTGGATCTTGTTGACTATTTCCCCCTATGCATGTATTATTTTTGACAACCATTTTTCTGTATAAAATATGCCTTTCAAAAATGTCAAAAGTTAGTTGGGGTTTCATTTATGTACATTCGTCTTTGTATTACTCACTATTTATATCATATCGACATAAAATTTTTAATTAAATAAATTTACCGAAAATCGTTTCGAGCTATTGAAAAATTGGCAGCCAGATTTAAATTTCTGAAAATCGAAATAGGGGGAAATAAATAACAAGATCCCTTTTTATGCTATTAATCACACAAATTAATGTTTCAATTCTGTTTTAGTTGGTAATACGGTTAGTATTGAACAAATCTAAACTCAAAGGCTAAACTCAAATTTAGCGTTTGAAAAATCCATTTTTCCTACCCCTCACAAATCGAATTGGGAAATCCAATAAATGATTCCACATTTCCCAGAAATACAAAATAGGCATATATGCACTACTCTACTTGGTATTCTATTATAATACTAACAAAAATTTCCCTATTTCTCAGAAAAACAAAATACGCATATCAAATACGCCTAATATGGAATAAATTAGCCCTAAATTTCGAAGTGTAGGACGTCAAGCAGACGGAATTTCAAGCCAATTGGCAAAAACAGAAACTTCAGGCTGAAAAATGAAAAATTTTTTAAGTGAAAAACCATTTGCTCAAAACGCAACAATAAATGAAGCTTTTCTTAGATTATAGATTATGCATTTCAAAAACTGATCTATTTAAGGAAATGAAAAAGTCACAGTGAAGTTTTAGTAAAACACAACAATTCTAATGGACAAGATTTTAGCAATAGTGGTCAAAACAGTGTGTACATAGTCATATTGGCAACATTTTCTTGCAATTGAAAAGTTTATAGTTTGAACTGAAGTCTTTTTGACTTGAAGTCCCGTCGGCTTTGTCGTAGACCCAAAATTGGGAAATTACAGATAAAATTTATCATTTTGAAATTTCACCTGAAGTCCCTTCTAGTATATGTGCACTTGTACTTTACGCAAATTACATGTATCTGACCTCGCCGTTCAATGTTGCTTTGCCCGCAGTGTAAATTTATCTATTTTGTTTTAAGCCCTTAGAATATATAGAGATTGGCTATGGTGGAAACCCTTTTACTGTAAGTACGGAATGCGCGAAAATAAAAAACAGCCTATGAGATTTCAGTTATCTAAAACTTGAAAAGAAAGTAAACATTTCCAGGGACTGAATATTGATATTGGCCAAATAAAAAAAACGGAAATATGCAACATTTTCAAATTGTCACTGACCGCCGCGAAATCAAAACAAATTTTACATTTCAAGGGTTTCGTTATGGAAGAAGCAAAATATTGCTTCATTTAATTCATTTTAATTGAACAGTAATTGCTCCTCTTTAAAAATTGACTTTCGGCTAATTTTGTTTTCGGTCCTTCGCCCACGAGTTTTTTTCGTCCATTCGCTCCTTCGCGCTTGAGAATAGCCCTCATGTATAGCCTCACCATTTCTCATAGAGCCTTTGGAAGTTAGACGACCGTAAAAAACGAAATTTAGACGATAACTCTATGTTAATTTAAACGTTAAGTACTGGGCCAACAAATCTGTTTGTTCAGATTAAAGTTACACAAAAATAAAAAAGTATATAATCACAGAACTGATCAAAGTTTAAAATACTTAATAGAATTTAATTGTATGACGTGAAATCAAAAAAGTAAGTTTAATTTCTTAAAAGCCTAACCTATACAATTGTGACAATAAAAGTTTGATTAGTGGTTGGACAATCAGTATTTATTCAACCAGTTTTTTTTAAAAGTCAGTAAACAATTTTCACGCATTTGCACGCAAGTTATTGTCTAAATTGCGTTATTTTGTGATCGTCCAATTTGCTTGTCGCCCGGGTTGACCTCCATAAACCGAAAATGCTTATCTTACATTTCCCCACACCGAAAACGCTTATCATACAATTGCCTACATCAAATGTATGGAAAAATGCTAATCATACAATTTTCATACAATTTTTTAAAAAAGTTTCCAAGTAAAGTTGAACTTGCCCCAAAAATTTTTTCGTTTTTTTTTTCAACCTCAAATCGAATTTTGTACTCAAACAAACATTTTCCAGTAAAAAAAATTTGCATGCAAATTTTAATTTTTAGTTTGCTTAACGTAGTCCACAATGCACAAAAATTAAAGTTTTTTCCGTTTCTCTGGATTTTTTTTTCAAACAAGCTAAAAACTCCTGTTTTTTTTTTCGTGTGGCATGTTTATATATGCCTTGATCAATGTTTGATAAGTTGAAAATTCACTTTTTAAAAAAATCATCTTTGAAAAATTTTGCCAAAATTTAAAAGTTTGATGCTTTCACTATATCGTTTGTGAAGTAATCACTATTACAATTCAGATCGTTTCCAATGCATTGTCAATGACAGACGATCAACCTTTTGGGAACTCTAGTGTTGAGTACACCATGGGTTTAGTCACTTGTGTTCGGTCACGAACACATCCCAAAAGATTTGAGAAAAAAATTTAGAAAAAATCAATTTTTTGGTTTATGAAAAAATGCTTGTCCTACACTTTTCATTTATGAAAAAATGCTTATCCTAGAATTTTTTAAAGAATTTTCTGAGTCTATGAAACTGTAGGAAATTGTAGGATAAGAATTTTTTCATGTATGGAAATTGTAGGACAAGCATTTTCTAAACCCCGTTCTCATAATTACAATTTATTCAATTGAAGCCTTTTCACAGATTAAATTATCTTCTTCATGTCCCAAAACGTCATTTGTCGTCTTAAGAGCTGTTGCCTGATTTGCCAACCACCTAGAAAATATATACACTATTTTAAGTAATTTTGTTGTCAGATTTCTTCCATAAAAACAGTTTGTGGCTCAGCCGATTCGTTATTCTTTTGCATAATTACTTCACAAAATTTATAAAACATCTCAATTATGGATAAAATTTACATTTATCTGGACGATGCCAAACATCCAAGGGCATTTAGGCAAACTGGGAACATTCTCGATCAGATTGCTCGCGAGTTTCAAAAAGTGCATCCGCCTCAGATCCTGTTTGACATAACGGAAGATGAAAATAATCCTGCGCAGATAGCCACAGAAACTAACCCATTGGTTCCTGGAAGATTTTACCGGTGGAAGACAGCCGAGGAAAAATGGCAGAATAAAGAGTTGGTTCAAAACGCCTTGTTTTGTTCACTTGCTTCTTACGAGGATAGACCCTTGAGTTACCTGATGGACAAAAGGAGATTTCACAGTGTAACTCTTTTGATAGCAGCGAATCTTTATTTCGGCAAACAAGTTGCGTCCCTTTTTATCTCAACTTCGGAAGGATTCGGCAAACAGAAAAAGACGCTAATTATTGCATTCAGAGGAACCAAAACCTTTGAAGACGTTGTCTCAGACTTCAAAATTGGGTTCAAGACCGATTCGACTTTCGTTGGCAAAATCCACGGTGGCTTTCTTCAGAGGATGCAATCTGTTTCCACTGAGAAAATCTTTCAGCTTGCCAAAATAAACGAGGTTGATGAGATCGTAACATGCGGCAGCTGCCTTGGAGGCGCTGTATCTTCTTTAGTCCACCTGAAGCTACTTTACGATCTTGAGAATAACGCCAGCGGCGATGATCCTGTTATAGATGCCGAGAACCTTGTCAACGTGACTTTTGCAGCTCCTATGATTGGCAATTACGAGTTGGCAAAACATGTTAATGAAAAGCAGTATGCAAGAAACATGTTTCATTTTTCGTTCGTGGGTGACATTGTTCCCGTTGTATTGTCAGTTGGGCATGTGTTTGAGGTTCTAAAGCAGAATGTTTCTTTTGGAGTCGTAGGTGCAAAAACTGCCATTTTTTCTCAGATTCGAAAAATCATACCTCTATTCAAGTTTTGTCTGGCAGTTGCTGCAAATGTACTCGAAAATCCAGTGGCAAAGAACATACAGGGAGCGTTGAAATCTCTGAATGCTCCGCCTTCGAGTTTGTATAATGCATACACTGAGCTCAACTACGTTCCAATTGGAAAATATTTGCTGATTCAGAAATTGGATCAGGGTGTCAGCATTGAACATCTGAAAAATAACCCTAAAATAGTAGAAAGAGTTCTGCAGTCGGCGACTGACTTGGTTGTCAAAGATTATCTGGGTTCATTGTCAAAGATTCGCGAATTCCACTCACTTGACAATTATCGAGACCTAATAAAGACTTATTTTGGTGGGTTCGCGTTATTCGGGAAAGCGCAGATTTGCATCGAAAAGAAGGACTGCAAAATGTTTCAAGACGAGAACGACCACATCTACAATTTTGAAAGCGTCTGCTCATTTACTTGCGGAGCTTTCTGCACAAACTCTCAACCTCTAAACCAGAAGGTTCAAGACATCGTGTTTTGTAAAACCTGCTACGAGGATCAGGGAACCATCGAGCACTTCTTCCATGTAACCTGCTCAAAGGATTTTCATCTCAATGAAAAGGAGAACCACGTTACTCGAAAATTCGATTGGGAAAATTTTACGGACAACCCAGATGAATGGAAACAAATCTTCCTTGATCCGGATCTGGAAAGGTATAAAATACCGTTTTGGAAGGTTGGGCAAGCTATCGCGAGCAACGCTGCTGTTCCTGCCCGACAAATTTTTCAAATTCGTAGCCATCCAGCTCTCATAAGTGGTCTTTTAAATATGACTTTGTCCTCGGCAAAGACAAATGCAATTGGTACAGCCGTTATGTTTGGCGTTAGCTTATCCTTTGACATCGCCCATTTTTTCCGCGGTAAAATCACAGCTAAGCAGTTAGTCGTGGCCACATTTGAGAGTTTCGCATCAAGTGTAGCTTCTGGAGGTGCGAGTATAGGAGCGTCTTCTGTTAGTGCTCTTGTAGGGAGCTTATTCGGGCCAGTTGGAACCATGCTGGGATATTTTGCAGGTGGGCTGATTGGAGGTATTGTAGGTTACTGGGCTGGTAAAATGGGTGCGAAGAAAATTGCGGACAAAATGGGCTGGTGCAAACTACCAGAAGACGAGCAGAAAGCAGATGTGATTGTGGACGCGCTAGTACTTCTAGAAGTACCTCTTCCGAATGGAAATGTGGAGGAAATAATAGAGGAAGACGTTATGAAATGCTTCAGAAGGAAAGCGCTCAGATATCATCCTGATAAATTGACCGCCGATGCATCTGAGAGGGAGAAATCGGAATGTAAGCTGTCCTGGTGTTTGATCTCGTTCTCAAGGAATACATTAGTAGCATATAGCAAAGACCCCCAATCCCTTTCAGGAAAAGTGGTGAAGCTTGTCAACAGAAATTGGAGGCGAAAAAAGGACCAAGTCGATATGCTGCGCATGAAGGAAAAGATAGAAGCACTTGGAAAAAAGCAGAAACCTGAGCTGGCGGTTGAAAAACCAAAATTTTGTCAAACATTCACACAAAAAACTGACTAATTTGATAAATTGCGTTTTTTGGCATTATGGATAGATAGTGAAGCAAAAGATGATTAATTAGTGTCCTATTTCAACCAGCAACTTACAAGGAACGATATATTTGGTTATTATTTTAACCAATCAGCTACCAAAAGAAATTTTGTAAGAGGCAGTGATGCAGCGTGCGGAAGGGGGACCGCTTCCCCTCAATTCTACTAGTTGCCACATTTTTCCAAGCCCCCCCTTTTGGTATAACTAAACGACATCCATTTTTGGCTGAGCAAACTCAAAAAATGTCTAAGAGCGCCTTCGACGCAATTTAACAAATTTTAAGGAGGGAGCGCCGAAAAAACGCGATTTTTCAAAAAGTGCCTAAAAACGCCTTTTTTGGACTGTTTTTGGAAAAATTTGCGCGCGGCGCAGAAATTTCAAAAAAATAGGCTTCTTATAATATTTTCGGAGAGCTCGGAAAATCAAGTTGTTCGACCTAAAAAAAAGTTGACAACATTTTTTCGAAAAACCGCCCCTTAGAAAAATTTCTGCGCGCACCACTGATCATACTGAGGCCAATGTCAATCAAAAATTCTTGCAAAACTTCGGCGTTTGGTAGTTGTTTTAAATTCAAGTAATGAGGATACTGCCATATAGTCAAACAACCCCCCTCCCCTCCCAAAAAAAATCAAAATATCAAAACTTTTCCCAATTTCAAATTTAACTTTAAAAAAGTTATAGACAAATTATTAAATAACCGAATGCTTTTGCTCATTTATGCATTGCCAGAATGTTTTGACATTAACAAAAATTGTTGATGGACACTTGACATTTTTTTCCTATGTGTTTTCAAATTTAACTATTAATAACAATTAAAAAAAATTAATTCTATTTTTTTTCAAATTTTTTACCATTTTCTTAGGTAGTATTAGTGGGTTGAAATTACACTCCAGACAGATTGAGGAAACCTGACTTATATCCTATTTTTTCTGTTTTTTATTTCTAATTCGGTTCAGCCTTGATTAAGGCTGACCGCTAAAAAGAGCGATTTGTCTCAAGGACATTACCGACCGGTTCTTGTGGCTAGCTTGCGCCAATTTGCTATTGAAGCTGTGAATTGGTGACGAATATTAATGAAGTTATGATGTTATACCCGACCGAAAGGACGATAAGTTTTTGCCCATAAATTCTCTCGTTAAATTCAAACATTCGACTTCATATTTTTGATTTACGGAGATTAGGCGCACATTTTGGCGCCCCACAAGGGACCTTGTTGATAGTTCCTTTTTCAAAGTTTCGCGGACTCGAGTATTCCTCCGGACTCGAGTGAGCAGTTAGCAGAGTGAGCAGTGAGCAGTTCGAAAGTTTCGCGGACACGAGTGTATTCTTCCGGACTCGAGTGAGCAGTTAGCAGAATTGGCCGAAATTCGCCCAGGGCGTTTGGCCGAAAGTGGGCGTTTGGCCGAAAATATCAGATACCAGTTGGCCGAAAGCAGGCGTTTGGCCGACAGTGGGCGTTTGGCCGAATGTGGGCGTTTGGCCGAAAACATCAGATACCAGTTAACCGAAAGTGGGCCTTTGGCCGAAAGTGGGCGTTTGGCCGAAAGTGGGCGTTTGGCCGAAAATACCAGCTACCAGTTGGCCGAAAGTGGGCGTTTGGCCGAAAGTGGGCGTTTGGTCGAAAATACGAAAACATCAGAGTATCGAATTGGCCGAAACTCGTCACAGAGTTTACTTCACGAAAGTGGGCGATCGGCCAAAAGAGCCGACAGACGACATAGCAGACAGACGAAAGAGCAGACTGACTAGCGGAAGAGAGGCCTGTTCAGGTGTCCTGATTGTTGATTTTTGGTCAAAGTGGAGCTGTGTTTTTCTCGACACCCGAAGTTTTGGATTTTTTCCCGGTGACGCCAATCTCCAATTAAAAACTGTAAGAAGTTTCCAAAACTTTAAAAACTTTCCATTTGTGCTATAAAATTTTATACGCTGTCACATATTGAAATTTTTTCCGCAAGCTAGCAACCGGTAAGTTTTCTTTAGCCAAAATTTTTGGAAAGTTCCGTTGAACTGAAATTACTTACAATCGGTACTTAGACAATTTGATTGACATTTTCTCTCGATATCAAAATTTTTCGGATATTTGTGAACGGAATAATAATCCGTGAAATCGGAACACAGATAAGAGGTACTAAACTATTTTTTTGGATTGGTTTATGAATCGAAGCTGCTGACCAAAATTTTCCGAAAAATTTTGGGAAAAAATAAAAAGTTGCCAAAAAATCCTCAGAACGTTCCCAGAATTCTGCGAAACTGTGCTGTAACATGACACCAACCTGGTAGCAAAATATCAGGCAAATAAAGTTGAGTTTTTTCATCCTCAGGTTTTTTCCGCAAGTGTTGCGTTGGAACTTAACCAATTTGCCTGATCCCCCACCCACCTTTGGTGAAATTGAGAGCCAGTTAGCTTCAAGTAAATCTAAGCCGTATCAGCCCGTCCGATTATTGACTTAGTTGCGCGACAATAATGTTAAATGGTCAGGTACGGTGATATTAGGTGAGTTAAGTTGAATTCTTTCATCCTCAGGTTTACTCCGTGTGCGTTGTTTGAGTTCAACCGACCTACTTAATTTCGCCACCCCATTGGTACTTAAGTGTAACGTAGCCGTCGCATAAGTCTCTTAAGTGTATGGTATTCGTTCTAGGAGCTAGTTCTCTAGACCACGCGCTCCGTATACTATCCGCACCGTCTCAAAAGCGCGTGAAAGAGACTTGTTTCACAAAGCCCGGTTTAAGCTTTAACTTCAACGCCAGGGACTCGCAGAAAACTATCCAATACTATCTGCACCATTTTCTGTCGAATCGGAAAGATCTAGTTATTTGGCACGACGCGATAAATAACTCCATAAGTAAGCACCGCAGTAACAACAACCGTAGTTTGAGTACTGACCAACTTAAGAGCCTTCTTTTGAGATACAAGGAGAATATTACCGCTATTGTATACTGTCCCCGCAACAATACGGACAATATAGAAAAAGAGTTGAAAAAGACAGGTATTCTCGTTCTTAACATAGTTGAGGAGTTTATCTCAGAGCGAAAGGCCAAAGACCAAATACTTATCGAAAAGTATAAAGAGCTGCACCAGCCCCCTTCCCTTGAGTTGAAGACTGTGTTGTTACTTAGACGATACAGTGCTGACCTAAGTACACTGAAAGCTAAGAAGAAGTGGAACCGTTTGTCGCCTAAAAATTGTAGAGCGATTCACAATTGATTTAAAGTGTTAAAACTTCAAGTTAATCCCCCTTGTAAGTAATTGATGTATTAGAGTATTTTGTGGATTCACTTGAGTGAAAATAAAGTATTTTCTGAGAGTCGTTTATTTCTGAAATTATTAGGCATGGAAGTTCAGTTTCAGAAGAAAATTAGGAAGTTGTTTGAGAAATGTAGCAATCTCGAAAACGCACTTTATAAATGCCACGAAATAATTTTGGAATACATAGAGAGTCAGAGTCGTTGCTCAAAATTGATACCTATAATGAAAAATGTAGGAACTATATAGAACAAGCGGCCGAGGTAAACAATATGGCTGCAAAAAGTGCAAACCCCGACGAGATGATACCGGCACAGGATATGTGGCTTCATAAGTTGACTCAAAGCAACGATCAAGTTTTGCAGGAAGCTATCACATACAAAACAAGTTTTGAGGCAGTAACAGAGCCGGACAACATAGATAGCAGCTCAAAAACTTCACATCATTCTGGAAAAAGTGAAAAACCCCAGTCTTAAAAAACAGATACCCGCTCTAAGTTGTCACACCGAAGCAGCCGACATCAGCAATCGGGTTCTCAGAAATCTAGTCGTTGTACCGCCGCTCCGTCGAAAACACTTTTTGAGAAAAAGCGCTATTCAATGATTTTAAAGAAACAACAAGAGGAACTTGAGAGGCAGGCAAAGGTGTCATTAAGACCGAAAGAGCAGCAAAACAAGATAAAAAAACAATATTTTTAGAACAACAAAGCAGTTTAGAGCTGGAAGAATTGGCTGAAGAACACAGGAAAAAACTGGCAGAAATGGGGTCGGAAATCAGCGAGAATGCTGAGGAAAGTGGTTTAACTCGAATCTCTCCACAACTAACAATAGACTAAAAGGATCGTACCTGTAACTTGGTCGATTCTGTTGACCACAATCAGCATGACTCTGTTGCAGTTTCCAATCAAGAGCAGCGCGTTCGTTCGACAGCTCCTGAGGAAACCTATCCTGCATCAACAAATGACATGGTCTCATCAAGTTTTACAGGAGTGAATAAAGTCCAGGCAGCTTCTATTGATCCGGGATTGTATTTCAGTAACCACATTCACGGACAACGACATAATTTGTCCAAATTGGTCTAATCGCAGATTTCCGTTAACAATCCAGTAGCGTTACAGCAGGTCATTCAACCTGTTTCTAATAATTTGCCTCGGCAAACTTATTTGTCCACTCATCCAGTGCTAGGCAATCCAAACACAAGGTCAGTAGTCCCGGTAACTTCTGAAAATTATTTTGCTCCGACAACATCTGCAGAAGTTTCTTCTGGTGTAGCACCGTTCGTTCCTGCATCAACAGCAAGTAATCAGGTTTCTTTAAGTCATCACACTACCGGATCAGTAGTAGCTGGCTATCAAGCACCTCTAATCCCATCACAACAACATACGGGTGTTCCCGTTAGTAGTTATAACTTTTCAGGCGACCACTATAATCCTTATAGTAATTTGTGGAGAACAGCTGTTGCTGCCCCTTTAATATCAGCTCAACAACTCCACGTTTCTTCGACAACTGTTTTTTCCGCAGTAACTCCGATTGTTCCTCCGAATAATTTTGTTCCTTATACAAGTGGAGGAACTGTGTTCCTTGCGCAGCCTGAAAATTTTTCACAAGCAAACAACCGTTCGTTCCTGATTATCACGGTAATTCTTCGAGTTACACAGCGCCAACTCCCGGTAAGTCACCTGGTGCAGACGTCGAGCGTCCACTTTCGACATGAGAGTTGGTTAATATACTCATGCAAAGCCGAAAAGATCATCTC